AGGAAGGAAGGAAGGAAGGAAGGAAGGAAGGAAGGAAGGAAGGAAGGAAAAGGGAGATAGGGGAGGGAGGGAGGGAAGAGGGAGATAGAGAAGGAAAGGAGTGAGGGAGGGAGGAAAAGGGAGATAGGGAAGGGAGGGAGGGAAGGAAGGAAGAGGGAGGCGGAGAAGAAAAGAAGGGATAGGGGAAGGAAGGAAAGGGAGATATATTTTATTTAAATAAGCATCCATGGTTTGCAAGGGGAAGGAAGGAAGGAAGGAAGGAAGGAAGGAAGGAAGGAAGGAAGGAAGGAAGGAAGGAAGGAAGGAAGGAAGGAAGTCTGCTTTAGATAATGTAACATACAACTGATAAAAAAAATAGATGGGGCTTGTTTTCGGGTTAGCGATTTCAATTTTACCTTGGTAAAAGTTTGCATAGGATCTACCTTCTTTACAATGAGTGCTTTGTTTTGTTGTACTTCATGGGGAAAACAGTAAGTTGATTTGTTCTACACTAAAACGATCCTTTTACTCTTCCACCCCCCATGCTGCTAACCATCCAGTTCTACCTCCCCTCCACCCCCAAAATGCTATCCGTGGCTACCGCTCCTTTTCACCTGCTTGACGGAACCCCTTCTTTCTTCTGTAGGAAGCAACTCATCACCTTATGGTCAGCTTCAAAGTCCTCTACACAGTGGGCTATTCGCTGTCGCTTCTGGCCCTGATCTTGGCTCTACTCATCTTGACTGTCTTCAGGTAATGCTTCCCATGGTAGCTGAGGAAGCTTCCAAGCACCAAATTTGGAAAAGGTTGAGACCACAAATAATATGGTGCCATGTTTCTCAACGGTATCATTCTAAAATGTGTGGGATTTCAACTCCCAGAATTCTCCAGCCAGCATAGAGCTGTCTGGAAATGTCTGGGAGTTGAACGCCACACCTCTTAAAATTTGCCAAGGTGATGAAACACTGACATAGAGTGGGATCCTTCCTTCACTGTGCCTTGTTGAGGTTACCTAGTTTGGTGATGAAATGTCTGCAAGAAACAACCAAGCTCAGAGAGCATCAAGGATCATTCCTGAGCTACAAATATCCTCTTTCTTAATACAGGGATTATTTCCTTCGCAAATTGCACTAACTGTTGGGAAGCTTTTTCCTAAAATTTAACTGGAGTTTGCCTTTTTGTATCTTAAATCCATTATTCCGTTTCCAACACTCTGAAATAATGAAGGACAAACCTTGATCTTTCTTTTTTGTGATATGTTTTCAAGAGTTAAAAAGATTTAGCTGGCCTATTTTCTTTCAGCCATTTTTCTCGGGGCTAAATATATCCATCTCTTTCTACTTTTCTTTGTAGCATTTACCTTTTGATCTTCCTTCCATTCATTCTTGTTGCCATTGTCTGAATCTGCTCCAGCTTCTCTGAATTCTCCTTAAAATACGGCTACATACTAACACAAAATAAAATGGAAGAGTTTTTTCTCTTGATTTAGATGTTGACGGAATCATCCACATGTTGATCTTTTCAGAGATGATAATTTGGGTTTCTGTTGAGACTCTTTCATAGATGTATAAGGTTCTTCTAGACCAGGAGTGTCCAACCTTGGCAACTTTAAGACTCGTGGACTTCAACTCCCAGAATTCCCCAGCCAGCTTTGCTCTGCTGGCTGGGGAATTCTGGGAGTTGAAGTCCACAAATCTTAATTTGGCAACGTTGGACATCTTTGTTGTAGATCGTTCCAAACACATGGCCACTCAATTCGTCTTGAAAGCCCCCAATAAGAGGAAATTCTTCTTCCAAGTGATTGCACCATATAATGGAGGTTCTCGCGATCAAAAAGATTGCTCTATTAGCTGATTTAATTGTGACAACTTTGCCTATGAATGGTCATGTTCCCTTCGTCTTTCAGGAGACTTCGCTGCACTCGGAATTATATTCATGCTAATCTTTTTGCTTCCTTTGGTCTACGGGCCATTTCGGTGATTGTGAAGGATGCGCTGCTGGAGAAGATGTGGGGAAGGGAGACCTTCCAGATGTCTGACTGGGAAGACTTATTGAGTCACGAGGTAAGTTACTGTCTTCCTAAGGGTAGTTACAGACAGTGGAGGTTGAAGACCCTCCACTGAGATCTTCTCATAGTGATGTGCTTTAAGCCAGGAGATCACAAGGATTGCCTGGCAGCCATGGTGGAAGAATTAGCTGACTCTATGTCATTAAGGGACGCGGTGGCTCAGTGGCTAAGACGCTGAGCTTGTCGATCAGAAAGGTCGGCAGTTCGCCAGTTCGAATCCCTAGCGCCGCGTAATGGAGTGAGCTCCCGTTTCTTGTCCCAGCTTCTGCCAACCTAGCAGTTCGAAAGCATGTAAAAAAAAAAACGCAAGTAGAAAAATAGGGACCCCTTTGGTGGGAAGGTTCCGTGTGCCTTCGGTGTTTAGCCATGCTGGTCACATGACCATGGAGACATCTTTGGATAGCGCTGGATCTTTGGCTTTGTAACAGAGATGAGCACTGACCCCTAGAGCCAGAAACAACTAGCACGTAGGTATGAGGGAACCTTGCCTGATGTCATTGCCCAGGAGATGCCTGAGTGCAGGATTCCTACATTCTTCAGAGAGACTTCTTCCTTGTCCTCCAGTGGAGGTTAAGTTCCTGTCCTACCCAGACTTGTAGCCTACATAAAACTCTCCTTGGATCCAGCAGGTTCTACACATTCAACACGAGATGCCATGACTAGTTGAATAAATCACAATTGGCTGCGCTTACAGGACTTGTTGAGATATGATCCCTATTTTGCAAATCATATCTGAATTCATCCAAAAAAAACTAAGCCAAAACTACTTACGTGGCAGTTTAGAGTGAGGTGTGGACTAGATGGATTTGAGAATGGTTCCAATGGGATCTGCACTAGAGCTAACTCAGCGAATTTTGCTATCTGGGGTGAAAGCTAATAAGTTCATATCATGCCATCCTCTACCAAGCCATCCCACCTGGTATAAGTTGTCTATTTTAAGACTTGAAATGGGGTGACATCTTCCCTTCAGGACAGCTACAGAATACTTGCTGGGAATACCAAAGTCTTCAGTTCGGTTGCACGGTATCTTCAAGAGAGCTGCAAAGAATTCCTTTCTAATATCCTTGGAGACCCACTGTGGTTGGGTGAAATTGGTTAGGTGATTTTGGCAGTGAAGTCCACACCCAGGACATTCCTGTGGTTTCTCATCCAAGGACTAATCAGGTTGTCCTCAAAATACCCTTTTGGAGAAGTAAATGGCTATTCCAAGAGAAGAGAATATTTGTAAGTCAGAGTTGAACTGTGGAGTCCCTGGTGCTCTCTGAGCTTGGTGGTTTTCTTGCAGACATTTCATGACCCAACTAGGTAACATCATCAGTGTTAGGAGGGAGTGGGGTTTGTAGTGGTAGTGGTGGTGCTGGTGGTGGTGGAGGAGGAGGAGGAGGACAACAACGACAGTGACAATGAGGACAACAACGACTTTGGACTCCCTGGTGCCTCCTGAGCTTGGTTGTTTTCTTGCAGATTTTTTAATACCTAACTGGGGGACATCATCAGTATTAGGAGGGAGTGGGATTTGTGGAGGAGGAGGAGGAGGAGGAGGACTATGGGGTTCCTGGTGCTCTCTGAGCTTGGTGGTTTTCTTGCAGACATTTCATGACCCAACTAGGTAAC